GCCGGCACAGCGTTGGTATTGGCCAGATGCCGTCACGTGGGACCACTATATAGCAGTGTTCGTTTGTTTACGGTCGCTCGCGACTGCCATCTTGGCTCTGGAGGCGTGGACTCCTTGGGGCACAGCGCATCTGTTTTGACGGTTATAAACTTGTATAAACTTGTCCTTCCGTAGGCGCTGTGCTGTGAAATACTTGTCATCAAGAATGACGTCGCTGTTCGTGTCTGTGCACGGCTGGTGCGCCTTCTGCTGCCAGAACAATTCTAGCTGATGGCCGAACACTCTGTATGACACCGCCAGTTTAGCGCTATTACTTGCGACAAAAGACCGGCTTACATAGAATCAGAAATGAGAACTTCAGGCCGACATTTACGAATCCACTTTCCAAGTAAGCTGCCCGTCTCTGATTATTAGTACGGCTCAGTGTTTGCTCAATTCATTGCTTGCTTTAACGCCATAGAAAAGTCGCAGTTAAGTGTGCAGGATGTCGCCATCTCTCACTGAGGGTTCATCAACGCTTCCACGGGGTTTATTTTTGGAGGCAAAGCTCCTCATGCCATGGGTCGTACGTCCGCAATGTATGTAGTAGTATTCGCAGTAGTAGGTAGCCACCTCCACGGCCGGAATAGAGGGGCGGAACGCGTGCACCCTTTTCAATGGAGGAGGAAACTCACGCACGCTATTCATATATAAAAAGATAGTTGTTTCTGATGAAATAAGTTACATAGACTAGTATTGGTGGCTTAATACTCAATAAAGTTTGCCTTGAATTTGGGGCTTACTTAAAAAGCTACTATCAGAAGGACGCACTTTGAGTGCAATATGACCAGGAAGTGTTGCCATGTTACTCGCTGGGCGTAACCTCCTTGGTTTTAGAAAGGTTTGACTACAGTTGGGCTGCAAGGCCATTGATACAGTGGCCTAGTATATAGCCATGAACTAGAAGCCGTGAAAGGTGGGTAGTAGACACGAAGCGCAGGCCGTAAGAAAGTTTGCGAGTGCCACCGCTCGTTTAGTTCATTGAATGGCTGCTGGATAGTGGTAGTTCCATAAGCTGAATAAATGCTGAAAAGGTGCGAGATGGCGGTAATTGGAGTTTTCACTAGATGGACGGACAGATGGGCAGATGCACGGACGAACGCAGGGATGCACAGACGGACGAATGAACGCACGAACGGTCGCACACAGGGACGCATGGACGGACGGAAGCAAGAAAAAAGGACGGACAAACGTTTCGCCCAAGCATCATCATGCACTCCATGGATATGCTGTGATTTTTTTTTTTAACAATACATGCTTACGTGTACTGCTTCTCATTATCCGCCGACTGGTTTTAAATTGCGGTACTGATTTGTATGCTTAGGATGTACGCGTAAAGACGCTCAATATTGTGATTGGGCTACTTCAGATATTTTGCATTGCTGTTCTGAATAAACAAAGCTTGAGTGCAGTAACTCACAATAATACTGGTACTTTCCGCTGGTTTTTGTTGCGTGATCACATATTTCAGAGCAAAATGCTCTCTGTCGTTCTTTTACGTTGGCTGATCAGCCGGGCAACGCGCGATACATGGTTCATAAATAGTATTACAGTAAGTTACCAGTCAACTCTGCAAGCGAATTCTACGTTCAAGTGCAATATACATTACCGCTTCATAAGTTACATAAACAGGACTGATTGACAAAAACGAGTTCATCAACTCTTAACGACAAAACTAGAGCGCACAAATTTTGGTCTGTCGCATTCAGCCACTCGGTAAAATTTAAGCACTTGCTCAACGCCCTGAGATATTGATCCGGTAGTTGCCCCCATACTCTTGTCAACATTGTCTATCAAATAGCAAACACGCATATCTCAGCCGCAACATCATTGTGTAAGTATTGAAAGGTGTGGCTCTTTACTAGGAAATAGTCAGCTCCGTAATTATAAAGACCCTAGTGCTGCTCGCGCTGCACAAAAAATGCAATGCTATGCACGAAAATGCAGCTGTTTCTTACGCTTCGATGAAAATGACGTGCTATGCACGAAAAACCGTTCTGCCAACGACATGGTGCTGCCGCCTGCGCCTGGTCCTACATTCTGTGAATTAAGTTGCTGTTTCTCGAATTACTGTCAAATGGCGTCCGTATCTCAAGCAGCGCCTCCAGAAAGAAGACTGTCGTCTAACGACAACATTTGCAGTGAAGCATGCCACTACGCGGTAATTTTTTTTCTTTACCAACATGGGGTTAGTTAATTCTGAGCAACCGGTGTAGGGCGTCACAATGTACGAGACACCAGTTTTTTTTAGAAGTTTGATGAATCGCGTTCATAGCCGAATTTTAGGGTGACCGGGCAATGTAGAAACCGAGTGCACCGCAAACGTTGAAGCGGCAGCCGCTCTGCTACGTCACAAGGTAATGTCCATGTCAAATACGTCACAAGGCACAACAATAAAGTATTATTTTGTGTTTTACAAATGAAAATTACAATTATATGAAATCAACAAGTTTGAAAAACCCTGAAAATCGTCACCGTGGAGATTACGTATTCTGCCTCTGGATTTATGATGTAGGGATTCTACGATTCTGCATCTTTCGAAATTCGCATCACTGCAGCCAGGACCAAACCTGGGACATTGAGCTCTTCAGAAAAGCACAATAAAGGAAAAAACAAATGAGGCTTACAGCAGAATCTGGTCATTGAAAACGGCAAGTCTTTAAACATATACAATATATACAAATGGACCGCTTGTTATTGGCTTGTGATGTATGATATTATTCGTAATTTTAATATGATATTAAGGAGGCGCCAGCTCCCTCAAAGCTTTTAAATTTATCGAGCATAAAAAGCGAGATATAAACATACAAACACAAAGGCATCGAGAAAAAACACACAAACGCTGAGTACCAGAAAAAACACAAGCGCATATCAAACGGCATAATATTCAGACCGAAATGTGAATAATAGTGTCTATAACGATGTCTCCCCTCATCATGGCGATCAGTCTGCACATATAGACAACATGAAAGCTACAGATCACGACTTACCTATAAGGATCTACTGAATGTAAAAGTACGCAAAAGGCCTCTGAATGGCAGTCATGCCATTCTCTTCTAGAAATCGCTATAGTGCTTTTAAAGCACACGCCTCCAGGGGCGTAGGCAAAAAGTTTTGAGAAGGAATGCACCTTCTTGAATTTTGTTCGATATGTGTGCCATGGCGAAATAAAGCACTGGTTGGGTGTGGCATCCCCAGTCTACGCTACTGCTCGTCTGTAACGGTCGTTTTGGCCAGTGGCGCAAGGGGTTCTTCGTACTGAAAGGTTTCCATCATAATGTCATTAGTTCTTATTCAAGTGAGTGTCTCGGTGTGTCATAATCCGGAAAGTCTATACGGAGGCGGCATAAAGCATCATTTACAAATCCACATTCGCCTTCAGCTGTGTCAGTTGGGTCAATGCTGTGTGAAAAAACAACATGGTGTAGGCATACTTAGCTTTAACCAGTGAATAGGTGTATCCATCCTCAACTTTGTTAAAGTATAAATAGGTGCTAAACGCTGTGGCAATATCTGCAAGAAAATGTGGCGTATTTGTCGCCTCTAGCTTTCATGAATCTCGAAGTGAAATAATGATGATGGGAACGGCGGTTTACTTAACAGCTGCTCCTAAGAAACAAAGAAGCATTTAGCATAGCACGCAACGGTAAGGTGATCCACCAGCAAAAAATCAGAGGATATCCCGCGTCGCATCAGAATAAACTGCTATGACCTCACCTCCCAGAAACTCTGTCACCATCACGACATGCTCCAGCCTGACGTACAGCGGCCGCATTTTTGGAAATTCTGACTCTCTTGGTTTTTATATCGGCTGCACGAGTGCCTTTCAATTATTCTACGACGAATATCTTAAGTTAGGTAACATTTCCTGAATTCCTAAAAAAAATGCCGTAAGTTGTGACACGTTACGTCCATATTCTTTGTATATATAAAAAAAGCCATGGAATATTAGTTAGGTTTTTCTCGTGACATAAACTTCCGTCTAGTTGATTATGAACATTATAATTAAGCACATTTCTTTCTTTCTCTTCATACAGCTGTAGTCTTCACAGCGGCCAAGTATTCTCCTCCTAGACATAGAGTTTCTCTACAAGGGCGAAAGGTGAATAGTGAATATATTAATTAGCTCTTCTGCTTCAAAAACACTGTGAATTTTTATTAAGGTACAGTCGGGTTCACAGACAAAGAGACACCTTCGTGTCCATCATGTCTAGATTTGGCTCTCTGGGAAAAGCATAGTGGCTAATATCTGCATAAGACTACGTCTGATTGACAGTTTTGACTCCTTCTGAAAGACTAGCGCCATGCACAAACAATGTTTTTTGTGTCTACTTGCAGTTGTGAGGCCCGCATTATGTCACGTGCTCATTAGAGTGTTCCCTTTTACAGTGTACGGCGCTGTAAATCATTCCAGCAAAGTTTTATTACAATTCTCTGTTTGTATTGTCGCACTTACGCTTTATTTGTTTTTTTAGTTCCGCACACTTTTACTTTTTGTGTTTATGATCCTATCCGCAGTTCTTATGTTCCAGCCCACTATATTTCTTACAATGCAGCATGACTTGGGCCTTTTTAGATGCAAGTGGCCAGCCGGCTTTCATGCGTATTGATTCTTGCTTATTTTTTAACATAATTTGAAAAAAAAATCAATATGCTTATTCTTTTTAAATACTGCTACACCACAGTAGAAGATTTTCAATATTGTGGTGTAGCGGTAATAAAAAATGATAAGCCTATTGATTATTGAACTCCCTCGAGTTAACCAGGCCAGAACATTGAAGAAAAATTTACAACGAAAGGAACAAACTGTGCAGGCTAAACATCCCACAGACGAGTCGCAAAGAGAAGCCCTTCCATTGTGTCTGGTCTGCACGTGATGGATAGCCTGTGAAGTTGAGATGCGTTCGCTAGCTCAAAACCCTGTCCTTCGAGAGTTTTTAATACGAGATAGCTTTTCTCACAGTGTTTCCAGCGCCGTAAGACCGTGGAAGGCCCTCGCAGCGATAAACTCGATGGGGTTGTGTGACAAGTACCTGCAAGAATGAAAGATGGTTTGGTGTGGTGAGAGCCTGCGTTCTTTAGATCAAAATTACAGAGAGGGCTTTAGCGAAATACCCTCCTTTCGCAAACTGACTCTTTCGCGAAGCGCGTAATCCCGTCCTGAAGTTGAAAAGCTTTGGAGGTCGGGCACACTAATTCCACCATAGGGTATATATACTATGTCTTCGGGATCAACCAGTGGCCTTACTATCTAGCTGCGCTCAAACTGGGCGTAATGCCTTGAATATAGCAAGGGATGGCACACTATTCTCCCATAGTTAAGTACGAAGTACTCGAAATTGTTAAACACTTTTTCTAAATACAAGCACTACGAAAGAAGCTTTCATTTCGGTATTTATGTATTTATTTTTTAAATGCGAAGCCTTTCTTAGCGAACTTAGAGAACTTTGAGCGCATCTATCTATCTATCTATCTATCTATCTATCTATCTATCTATCTATCTATCTATCTATCTATCTATCTATCTATCTATCTATCTATCTATCTATCTATCTATCTATCTATCTATCTATCTATCTATCTATCTATCTATCTATTTATCTATCTATCTATCTATTTTGCTGCCTTCAACTTTTCATTATGCCTTACCAAACTTGGTAAGGCATAACATGACTGCATGGCCAGCATATCTGACTAGTCATAACATGAAAATTTTGACATCTATGTCATAAATGTCAAGATTTACATTTCATGGTCTTGCTGCTCTTGTGGTGATTTCGTTCACATGACATGTTGCAAAACTAGTATGGTATGCGATGACTGCATGGCGAACACAAGCGACTGACCCTAACATGAAAATCACGACATGCGTGTCTAGTAACAACATGACTACATGCCACGCTCATCATGCGGTCGCGGCCGTTTCGCTAGCGTCACATATACCAAATTCGGTATAACTGTATGTGAAAGAATGACGAAGGTATGTGACTGATGCAGACATAATAATGTTGAGATGCGTGTCATGTAACATCGTGAATACTTGCCACGCTCATGATGCGCTGGCGGCCTTTTCGCTAGCTTCACTTGTGCCAAATTTGGTACTACGCGACGCGAAGGGACGACATAAATGAACAACACATCTAAACATAATGATCATAACATGCGTGTCATGTAACAACATGACTACATGCCACGCTCATGATGCGCTCGCGGCTGTTTTGCTAGATTTACTTATGCTTAATTTGGTATTGCGTGACGTCAATGAATGACGAGGGTATTTGACTGGTACAAACATGATGATCATAAGATGCATGTCATGTGAGAGCATGACTGCATGCCACAGTCAAGGCGTCAATACACTTGGACCTGACGCGGCGCGCATGCGAGCAGACGTTCCTTTGGTCCCGCCGCGCCTGGTGTTGCCACGACAGGAGCGCGCCGCGCTGCGTTGCTTTGACGCATGCGCCTTGCAGCGTATGCGGCGTGCCTTCGTCACGAAAAGAAACAGACACAGTATTGTCTCGGTAAAGCATTTGCGCGAAATAAACCATGTCGCATTTCGCGCCGGTTGCCGTTGGGCCGCGCCAGTCGCGCCGTTCGCGCTTAGCGTCAGACTATAGAGTACTGGCGTTTTACTAACGTAACGTCGCTGTGTCCAGCGTGCGCGCGCGTCAACGTTACGTTGAAGTATATTCAATTTTTAATGATGCACTCACGGCCGTTTCGCTAGCTTCACATATACCAAAATTGGTGTGCGCAACGTCAGTAAATAACAAAGGTATATGAATGGTGCAAACATGATAATCAAAACACGCGTGCCATGTAATAACATGACAACATACCACGTTCATAGCGTGCTCACGGCCGTTTCTCAAGCTCCACATATACTAATTTGGCATCAAGTGGACGTGACTGGATGACGACGGCTAAACGACACATCCAAATTCGATAGTCATGACACGGAAGCCGTGCATAGGCCTAATTTACCTCCACCTGGTAACGCTGTGGTGATTTTAAAGTGACATATAAACTTCGCCTTCATTCGCGCTTCGCATATTCATCAATTTCCACTGCATCTGGGATCTGCCATTTTTTTATTTATTTATTCGATTGTTGCATTACTTTTTACTTTCAGCCTCGGAATCTCTGTCATTCGAAGAACACGCCCAGAGTCTTTTCTGGCCTGAGGCGTTTTTCGTATAACGCCGAGGCTAAAATGACACGGAAACCGTTTACCTGTTGGAATTGGTCATATTTATACTTCCTGAGCTTGTGTTACTCACTCATGTACTCTTGTATGTTTCATTTCTTTTTCGAGAAAACGTGGCGTGCGTTTCTCGACACTCATTCACCAGTACAAGTGCGCGCCGTACAGCTTACCTGCGCCGGACAACAACAGCTACAAAAGTAACATTCTTACAACAGAGGGAGAGAAAGTGAAAAAGATAGAGAAATCAAAAAGAAGCGAAACACTAGAGATGATTATCAGAACCACGAACCCAGGATTTTCTCGCAGTCCCTTACATCATATCAACAGGCGAGCCCCTGCAATCACTCAAGAATATTCAACTAAAGCCCTGACTGCATGTACGTGTTACAACACGTCGTCACAAGGCGCGCGGACTCGGCGTCGCACCCTCTCCTTATAAAGAGAGAGGGTGCTGTAGCTTCGTGTAGCTCCTTCTCTTCAGTGAGAGAGGCCACTGCACCGAGTCTATTAGCCATACCCTGGTGTGTTGTACCGCGTACATGTGGTTAGCGCTCTAGGTGGATAAACCTGAGTAATCTCAGTGGTCTACAGTGATGTGCAGCAAGAGACCACGGTATTATGGTGTGGTCAGGCTTTAAGATTCATATAATTTCGGAGGAGCTTCGAACATACACTAAAGACCTTGTTCACGTCTTTGCCAACCGTTTGGGTTAAATAACACTGTATGCTGGCCTTGTTTTGTGATAGCGCATAAGCCCACTGGGGTCACTTGTTTATATAGTGACTATCTTACTTTTATTAGACTTCCGACAGTTTCTTGGTGTTTGGACCAACCAAAACTACGACTGAAATTACTAGAGGCTCAGACGAAGGCAGCAATGCTGTCGCCAGTTTAAGACAGCCCTCTCCACCCATGCTGCACGAAAAACACGAACCTCAATTCTACCCTCATGGCCTAGCAAGTCCTACGTGACGAGAGGGGGAGGTGTTCATGAGCGGGGACCTTACTGTAGCAAAAAATTGAAAAGATGTGAAGAAAAAGACGTATCGTTAGCAAGCAGCATCGTAAACCCTTAGGTAGTGGATTTGTGGCTCGTCTCGCTCGCCGCGTGCTGATCGTCAACGGAATCTGGCTCCACGCTGCTCTGTTCATATTGTGTTTTTTTTAGTAGAGCCGCCGTCTCAACACACGCCAATAAACCCATTTCAAATTGGTGGAGGTTGCTTTCATTGCCCATTGCCTGAACCTAGAGCAAAGGAGTTTTTTTTTAACCTCTTTGCCTTGAGCTGCGCAGAAAAAAACTCCCAAGCATTTTCCCGAGGGTGAACATGGTTAAGTGCGAATACACGGGGTGATGCTATGAGGGGTATTTAGTAATTCGCACTATTATATTTATTATTCGCACTATGGTGCCTTTATGGTGTAATGGTTCCTGGGAATCGCAATTTGATCACACGGGGGAGTTTACGTTAACTCACTGGCGAATGACAACGGATTTCAACTTTACTCCCCCTCACGACCCGCTCTCGACGGGAGACTGAGAGAGAAGGTAAGCGCGCGAGAGAGAGGGGTGCGCGCGCAGCTGCAGCGAGCGAGGAGAGCGGAGGAGCGAGCGAAGGGGGAGGGGGTATAAGGCGCGTTACTGACACCGATATCAGCGTCGCGTCCGTGGCTTATTCGGTAGAGCGTCGCGCTGCGGCCCGCCAAGTCCTCTTTCTTTTAAAGATAGAGAGAAGACTGCGGACGCCGCCGACGGCGGTAGATGGTTTGGGGTCGCCTTATAAAGTGTATTCACACTTAGAAACCGTCCTCTCATCATGACTGCCATCAACGTGCAACCTGGCCCTTCCACTGCGTGCTACAGCACCCCGGCGTTCCTCGCCTGCGAGAGCCCAAGGTCATTGGCGGTGCAGATGAGACCAACCTCGAAGACTAGTTCACCCACTACAAACTGGTGAGCACTAACAAGTGTGATCACTCGGACAAGTTGACTCAAGTCATTTTATACCTCACTGACTTTGCCAAAATGAGGTAAACAACCATAAAAACGACAGTTCGACATGGTCCGTCTTGAAGATACGTTAGCTGATGGTTTCGGCCAACCCTGTCCGCAAGTCCTGTGCCGAACAACGCGCGCGCTCACGCACAGAAAGCCTTCCGAATCGTTCACTAGTAACATTCAATACATCGTTAATCTTTGTAACTGTGTCAACGCCACCGTGCCTGATTCTGACAGAATTCAGCACATCCTCGAAGTGATCAATGACGGCGCATTTCTCATTCTCCGTGCCCTAATCATGTCACCTTTGCGGAATCCCCACCCTACGTTAAAGTTTTGACCAGTTGAAGAAGTAGCGCGCCCTGACTCAGCCATTTTCCTCGCATGCCAACTCGCTATCCAGTCTTACTTCCATTCCCGAGCAAAAGCGAAGAAATTGCTCGGCAACTGCCCTTGATTCCTTTCACGCACCATCTGCTGTCCTCTCGTCTGCCTCTAGCGCTCCGCCATGTTATTGCCGAAGAGATCTCTCAGAATGTTCCCGTCGCTCCCCACCAGCAGCCTGTGGCCACGCCTGTTCTCAATGCGTCGGCTATAAAGCCCGTAGCCATGCCCGTTACGTATGCCCGGGTCGTACGCAGGCCCCACCAGTAGCATTTTCCACCCCATGCCTTCACGCGCTCCACACTCCGCCCCTCTTTCGACACCATGGGCTGCACCACGAGTCAGCGATTCTTGGCGCACTCCTTACCATCGCCCAATTTGCTACACCCACGGTACTTCAAGGCACGTTGCCCAGCATTGTTGCCGTCGCTGCCAACCATTCCACTATGCTACCCGGCCGATTACATATGACCCACAGCACATACACCCACCTGCTCCCTATCCCTCACTGTAGTATGGCTACACAGACCTTCCCAAGTCGCAGTCACCCGGTCTCCATCTCAGACTCACTATCTCCACTCCCCATCTTCTCGCAGGCGATCGCCTTCTCCAATGCGTCGCCAACCCGCACCCTCACATAAACGCCGCATTTCCAGAAGCAAGATCTGCGCCGTCATCGAAATGCCAAAGTCCTCGCACCTGACCTACTAACGTCGTCACCATATCTGTCGATGGTGTTTCTACATATGCCCTCGTCAACACCGGTGCCACTATTTCTGGAATAGCCACTTAGCTTTGTCACCCCTTACGCAAATTGACCATGCCCCTCTCTGGGCTATCGCTCTTCACGGCTAGCACACAGTCACTTCGACCTCTTGGTGTCTTCACTGCCCATATATTCATTCAAGGCTCTATGTATGTCATAAAGTTTATCATCCTTTCAGCGTGCTCACATGATGTCTTCTTCAAGTGCGACTTTCTCTCACCTCATAGTACCATCATCAACTTCGCACGTGCTGAAGTTCAATTTTTGCCCCTGTTTTACGAACCATTGCACGAAGCTCTTGATCGGCCGCTTAAACTTGTAGTGGATGAAGACACCGACATTCCGCTGGCCTCTGTTGCCGTTGTCTCTGTTTGCTGCGATGACCTTAACGATGTCACTGTGTTTTTTGCACCTTCTGATATTTTCATGAGCCGCAGAGTGATTCCCCTGCCTTTCGTACACTTGATGTCACTGCTTACAGAAGAAATATTTTCGTTCACAGCCCTCTTTCCACACCGCTTACAATACTTGTCGAGGAATGTCTTAGTCGAGTGAAGTACCTTGAATCTTCTTTCTTCCTTGACATGCCAGATGGATTGTGCGGTATTTACTTGACCGAACGTGTGCCCTTTCCCCTCTCGAAGTGACATTTCGAGTTCCATCGCTGATATCTAAGTGCAAAAGAACGCGCCGGACTTCTTAGCCTCCTTCATTCATTCGACGTTTTTCACTTGACGTTATTCAGCCGCCATTGGGTCACACTTCAGAAGTGCGCCACTTCATTGACACAGGTTCGCACCAGCCTTTGCGTCGCGTCTAAAACCATACCACGTCTCTGCTGCAGAACGTCCCGTCATCAATGACCAGGTCGAAAAGATGCTATGTTGTGGCGTTATTGACCCATCTCAGAGTCCTTGGGCATCTGCTGTCGTTCTAATTCGAAAGAAGGACGGATGCATTCGCTTTCGCGTTGACTATTGTCGAATAAATAGGGTGGCACGGAAAGACGTCTATCCACTACCACGTATCAACAACGCTTTTGACAGCCTCCAAGGAAGCGAATTTTTCTGTTCCTTAGATTTACGTTCTGGCTACTGGCAGGTTCCTATGGCAAAAGCTGATCACCAGAAAACTGCATTCATTACATAAGATGACCTGTACGATTTTGAAGTAATGCATTTTGGGTTGCCTGGTTCTCCTGCCAAAACAGTGCATGGACTCAAGTGGTCTGTGTGTACATGCTAACTCGACGACATTGTTGTTTACTTTCCCTAATTTTTACCAATCTGCATCGTCTTCAACTGGTAACGACGTGTTTAACCACCGGGCTGCAACCGAACCTCAAAAAGCTCCGCTTCGCTGCGCGAGAGCTGTCCATTTTGAGGCACATCGTGCCCAAGCATGGTGTTCTACTCAACCCTGCAAAACTTAATGCAGTCGCAGAGTTCTCTATAGGTGCTACGCTCAAGTAACTGTACCTTTTCGTCGCACTATGCTCTTACTTCCGGCACATCATTTAAAATTTTGCTTCGATCGTGTCAACACTGATCAATCTCCTACGCGGCAACGCAGCCCTTTTCTCTTGGTCTCATAAAATACGACGTCGTATTTGCCACGCTCCATAGTCTCCTTACCTCGCTTCCCATTCTTCGGCATTTCAACCCAACAGCGGCAACGGAAGTTCACACAGACATTAGCGGGGTTGATCTAGGTGCTTTCCTCGCCTAACGTAAGCCGGGATACTTCGAATGCGTCGTCGCTTATGGGAGTGACACGCTAACTAAAGCTGAGGCCAATCCAGCATCACTGAAAAGGTGTGCTTAGCTCCTGTGTGGGCGCTTCGCAAGTTCCTTCCTTATTTCTATGGTTGCTCTTCCGATCTGGTAGCGAACCACCATGCGCTTTCTTGGCTCGCCACATTGAAAGACACTTCTGGCCATCTAACTCGCTGGAGCATGCGAATCCAGTAGTATGACATCGGCATCATCTATCGCAGGGAACGCAAACACTCTGATGAACCAATGACACCAGCTCCGTCGCATCTCTCGACCTTGACTCCGTTGTCAGCGAACAACACCAAGATTCGTCAATCGCTTGTTTTTTTTTTTTTTACTGTCTCTCAGGATCGCCCACCACTGTGGCATCGCGATCTCTCTGACGTCAAGCTGCTTTTTTCGCCATTCGGGATCGGCTTTTACACCGACGCAACTACTCCCCTGAAAGGTCAAGTGTGGCTCGTGGTTGTCCCCCGTAGCTTGCGATCACAAATATACGCCTCCTTCAACGACCATCCGTAATGTGGCCATGCCGCAGTTTTTAAGGCATACGAACATATTCACCGTCACTCCTACTGGCACTGAATCTATTTTTTTTAAAAATTTGTTACCTTGCTGCCCTGACAGTCAGCGTTGTACATCGCCGCCTTTCGACTCAGATGGTGTGCTTCAGCAATTCCGGGCCTTGCTAAACCTTTCGATTGGGTCGGAACTAATCTCTGTAGCCCACTACCGACCACATCAGATGGCAATCGGTGGATCATAGTCGCTGTGGACACTTAAACACAATACGCTGAAACCATCGCCCTTCCAAGTTTCCACTGCGTGGGACGTAGCGTCGTCTTTAGTCCTCCGTCGCTTCATATTTCGACATGGTGCACATCGAGAACTACCCAGTGGACGAGATCGAGCCTTTCTATCAGAAGTCGTCGCAGCTATGCTTTCCGAATGCCACGTTGCTCATCGTGAAACCACGGCATATGACCACATTTGAAAGGACTCACAGAGTGATTTTACCACCCATTTTAGTAGTTGGTATGTACAGACTTGCCTAACAAGAAACTTTCTTGAACGCGTTGAAAGAGCCTCTCTCTTTACATTGTCATGGGCTGGGCATGCCCATAACTTGGATGATGATGAAGTGCTGAGCGCAATGCGCTTGGAATGCTGCAGCGTTGTACTAACTCGCAACTATATCCTGTGCATATACTTTCTTCCCGTAACATCTTTGGTAAAAGGTGCGAGGTAGGACTCGCTGTATAGCCCCAGGAGTTGGATCTTCGCAGTGGTCGGCGTTGCTGCTATCACGATGAATCAGCAACCAACCCAGTGTGGACAACATGCGTCGGGCCCACAGCTGATGGCTGTAATACAGCACCGTGATCTTCGTCCATCTAACGGCACAAATGACATAGACGTCCAACACTGGCTAGTTCACTGTAACTTCACGTCAAAGCCTCATTTTCACCTTTTTTACCTTCTGTTTTTGGTTATGACCAACCTTTTCCTATTAACGCCAAGCGCCAGTCTGACAATTACTCATCGACGGCCTATGCTCCTGATGCTTTGGCCCGTGCCGACATCGCCCACCAAGTCTCCCGGGACCCTTCATGTGCCTCGCAGGTTTCTCAAAGGTATGTTTAAGATCACCAGCACCGCGATGTACAGTACTCTCCGGGGTCACTGGTCTTGATTGTTATGCTGGCCCTAACCGCGTCATACGAAAGGTCACTAGAATAACCTATGAGATTGCTTCACCCCATCACACGTCAGGAGCGGCTTCAGTTTCAACCAATATAGTGCATTTCTCGAGACTTAAACTATACTACTCATGCCCCGAGGATTGATCACACCGTGACCGTGCTTCTGCCTCCAGCGGTGATGTCCCAGGCTGGAAAGATAGTCTACAGTCATGAACTTGAACTGCAGCAGCGTTGTGTGCAACTGCTCGCAAACATGTTATGGCTACACACTTTCTTCCCCGTAACAATGTGTTCCTTTGGTTCTTTAAGGCACATTACGTAAATGCAACTTCCATTACTGGGAAAACTAAACAGGGTGTATGTGTGACACTGAAATAATGATACAGGCCGCAAAAGTGTTTACTGCAAGGTGTCATGCCCACTGTGGCATTGAATTGCAGCAACTGCGTACGGAACGCGATTGCCAATAATTTATAACAATTATCAGCAAAATCATAAAGCAGTGCCTGTCTCCGTAACCTGAAGAATGCAAATCAGTTCAATGTTATGAATGCAAGCGTTTAATCAATTTCATTTTACAACGTCATGACTCTCACATTAATTATCACGTGATCGAGTGAGAGTGGGGGTAAAGACACGTAAGGTAACATACAACAAATATTAGCAGTAATGCGTTTGAGTCTGCAACCAAAAAGAAAAACATTTTTATTGAATCTTGACTCACAAGTGTCGCAGGTTCTTGCTGCTCACGAAGGTGTCAGCCGCGATTTGTCGAATCCGGTTATCTCGGAGATACCTGAAAAAAAGGTACAAAAAAAAAGAGAGTGCGAAAGTGACCTCTAACTTTGAGATGGAAACATGAAGCTGCAAAATCTTTGTATAAAAAGTGCACCACTACTATCAATGTAAACTAATCCTAAACATTCCAAAAAATGCATGTTTTCAGGCACATTCATTTTTTACGAAATTCAGTATTCACTAACAACCCTACTGATGTTCCTTCGAGACAATTAATAAACTACCAACGTTACAAATTGTACTCCAAGAGCTCTTTGTGGTTTTTATTTACACTCACGTAAACTAAACTAACGTTCGATCACTTCATTACGGCAGTTTTTAAACTGCTGAATACTATAAGCATCGCCGAACACGTGAAGGAGGAAGCCTGGAGCCCTGCAAGCTGTAATAATTAGAAAACTTTCCGATATTTTAAAGGAATGTCGTTGACGGTCGCTTCTCCTGCTTGATGAGATCTACGAGGCCTTCATCTTAATGATGTTCCTTCGATAAAAATAATAAACTACCAAACCTAAAAAATGCACTCAAAGAGCACTGTGCGTATTTTTGGGGTGAGGAGGTATGTACGCTTCTTTAAAAAACACTAATGTTCGATCATTCCACTACTGAAGTTTTAAAACCGGAAAATACTATAAACATCTCCGAAAAAGACACGTGATGGAGTAAGCTTGGAGTATCGCAACTTAAAATAATGAGAACATTTTCCCATTATTTCAAGGCATGACGTCGACGGTAGCTTTTGGTGCTCAAGATGGTCTCCGACGTCTTCTCCTTCTCCTTCTCAAAAAAAACAACAACAAGAATAGCCTTATCTTGTGCAACATGCTTCCAATCTTCCTCGGAGCTATCAAGCAATAGCAGTAAAACTTTCGCAACAAACAAAGCCTGCAAGCTCCTAGAAACAAGGCAAAGGGTTGGTGGAAACCTTGTATGTACTGGACGTTATTCTGCCTACGTCCCAAGTAATTCAGCTGTCTCGTCTGCAGACGAGTAATCCTTTGGACCTTCCTGGAATGAGGCGCAAAACTAAGTTGATAGGAAACGGGCTGTCAGGCTAAGGCGCCGGCATGATAAAGAAATATCCGTGTGTATTGAAATGAGAATTTTACTCATTTTATGTCTCTCGTTTTTATTTGCGGCTGCGCATCACGGTAAACTAGAATGTAAGCCGGAAAGCTGGAGTGTTGTAAAGATTGAAGGAAGACGGATCGCCAAGTATCGCCATAGTTACTAGTTGCGAGGAAAGGTCAATCGACGCAGCCTTCAGCAATAAATCTCGCGGCAAGCCCCTCTTAGATTAGGCCCACAGAGGCCCAAAAAGCGTTCTGCATCACGTCATGCCTCATAGTATTAAAACATCATCCACATGCACCCTTTTTTCACCATTTTTCAGTTTTTAGTGTTCCTAGGCTCTTGCTTTCACATTCTTAGGAAGCTAATAAGTATCGGCTCTTGTTTTTTTTTCTTTGTCGAGACACAAACATATTAGGCGGACTTGCTAGTAATGCTTTTCAACCAGTTGATAACACTACTCTCAAAGCACTTGAAGTTTCACGTGAGTTGACTTTATACGCTGAATGAAAACTTCTGTGAACCACTGCTGAGTAGATCTCTAACTTGAGTGATACAAAGGCAGGCGTTAATCGACTGGAGAAGTATTTTTGCTGACTGTTTCTCTCTTTTTGGTAGTAATTTTTGGTAGAACAACGCACGTCTTATTCAAAGGTCACAGGTTTGGTCCCTCCCCACGGCAAAGGATCTTTTCGCCCACCTTTCGTTCCTTACATTTACAACACAATTACTTTTAATACAATCCCCTGTACTTTCCTTGGCATGATTGTATGTTAGGATTAATTTATTATATTATTGTGTCTGACACAGAGAACGAGTCCTTAAATGAACACTTTTTCTTTCTTCAGTCTTTCTCCTTTCGTGCGTTTTGTGGTTGTTGTTTACATTGCGTACCAGAAAGCTAAATATCTCAGCGATAAAAAAATGTGTGCAGCGTGATAGGAGAAGTAACTAGAGTGCGGCATTACGTGCGGCATAGACGAACGCTTTCGCTTCGTTCTAGTGACTGCACGGACAAAACGTTCACTTGCCATGCCTTTCACTTTTTCCTTCTCTCCTTTCTTCTTTCTATCACCTTTACTTCCCCTACTCCATCCTTAAAGGGCTGAGCCATGCCCCTGGTGCCACTTTTATCTCTTCCTGTTTCATTAACCTCTTTTTCTCCTTTCGCCATAGCCCCGCCACGGTGGTTTAGTGGCTAAGGTACTCGGCTACTGACCCGCTGGTCGCGGGTGCCAATCCCGGCTTCGGCGGCTGCATTTCCGATGAAGGCGGAAATATTGTAGGCCCGTGTGCTCAGATTTGGGTGCACGTTAAAGAACCCCAGGTGGTCGAAATTTCCGGAGCCCTCCACTACGGCGTCTCTCATAATCCTATGGTCGTTTTGGGACGTTAAACCCCACATATCAATCAATCAACCGTTTCGCCGTTCGCTGTTTCTCCTCTCTGCATCCCACTTCCCCGTCCGCTCATACTTCACTCTAGACCGTTAGCTAGCTGGCCGCCTGTAAAGAACATCCGGAAATGTGTGCTCTAGAAGACGCAGCTGAGCTGCCGACGAGAACAGACGCGTTTCGACAGCTCCGTCAAAATCAGCTGATAGAATCGGCTCGCGCGACCCCTCCCTCCCCCCCTCCGACGTTCCTGCACTGTCTGCACCCTAGCTCAACGCAACGACGCCGAGCTGTCCGGCCCCACCGGCTAAGAACAGACCTGCGGGACGCCCTGGACGAGGCCATGGGGCCGCCCTATGCTATCTTCTTCCGGACACCATTGACGACCTGAACTAACCACCTTGGCGCCGTTCGCTTCAACGTTGTGCGTGGGACGCTGGCCAGGACAGTTCCGGCGTCTCACCCGTTGCATCTGGCGGCGGCAACGCTCCCGCGTTATTCTTGTGAACCAGTATCGAAGGCTGCAGCGGAGCTCATGACGCAGCCATCACAACTAGCCTTCGCTCCAAAACGCAGTACGAAACGCGTGGCTGTCTGACAAATAGAAACAGATGATTTGTCTGCTTCTGCCCCACCGGAAAGCAAGCGGCAATGTCCCTCTCCGGCAGCTGTTGCTTCGCCTGGCACGGAGTCTAAATACAAGGTCGTCGTAAAACCACGTGAGTGATTCGACGTATCACAGATCACCTCCTTCAGTCAGCCTTCGACGCCTGTCTCAAAACCACCGCGTTTCAAGTTTTCTCTATTCACCATCCCACCAACAGCGTATCGTTATTAGTGCGTTTTCTAGCGGATGTTGACCAGCTCACCCAACTGAGAACTCTGCCAGTCACAGCTGATTGTATCGTGCAAATGAAAGCGTACTCGAGTTCCGGCTCGGACCAGCGTGGGTATGTGGTCTCTGGGGTTGACCCAGGGAAATCACTGGAGGGCCTTGTTGCTTTTTAGATGCGGAGCATCTAATACTCGAGGCTTGTAGTGTGGCGCCGTCCGCAAGCTTCCTCCTCCTTCTTCCACCATCTGTGCATCCCTTCCTCCTCTACACACCGCGCGCGCTTCACTCCTCCACCATTTGTGCACCCTTCCTCCTCTACACACCACGTGCGCTTCTCCTCTTCATGAACATTCGCTAGCTGTATAATGTAGCGCGCATGCGCCGTCACGCTTCGAGAACATTGGCAGCTGACGCGCGCACATGCGCCGTCGCGCTTCGAGAACATCGGCAGCTGACGCGCGCGCATGCGCCGTTGCGCTTCTCCCCCTTCTCGAACATTCGACAGCTGACAGTGCATGCGCCGTTGCGCTGTATATATACTCAAGGTCGGTGCTCGCTCAGTTGCCGCTCGTCGGTTGGTTTGTACGGCGTGTCGACGTCCGAGGCCGCATTGATCGACGTCCCTTCGACCAGCGCCAGCCAAAGTGTTGGCGGAACCGCAACCAAGTCGTCGTCCAACCCTTTCGCATACGTGTCGTACGTGTTCACTCATTTAACACCCCTCCTACAACCACGTTAACCAATTTAGCCAGCGACCCAAGTAAGTCGCAATTTAACACCCCATTTCACAACCACGTTAACCAATTTAGCCATCGACCCAAGTAAGTCGCACTTTAACACCCCGTTAACCAATTATATGCTCCGCATCCTCCTCAGTGTTCCCCCGAGGGAAGCTGCGGGCAATTTTTTGACCTGCTCCACTCACAAGATCTTAACACCTCGTTATATGGGCCATGGACGCACATGCCTGCTCACTCTCCAAGGGCCTCGAACGCCACCAAGCCAAATTACGTATTATGAATGCATCCTGCAATTTTATTCGTACAAGCCCGGTGTGGCACACTGCCATCTGTGTTTTCGTACCGGTTACATGCGAAATTCTTGTCCCCAACCGGCAGACACTTTCATGGATTCCTCCGAGACGTGCACGTACAAATGCGGTCTCTGCCAAACGGACGATGATGATACAACGTCCAAAGATTGTCCAGTTAAACAGAAGGCTCTCAAAGCCCATCACCGACGCAAGCGCAGCCAGCGTTCAGTGACACAAGAAGAAAAGGATGCCGACATTCCGACTAGCAATCGGTTTGAACTCTTGTCCCCCTCCGAAGAGGACACACCAGCATTGGTAGAACCTGACAATGTTTGCTATGCAGCCCCCACGTACACCAACACCATCAAGCGGGCAAAAAACGCGTTCAGCAGGCTGCGAACACGCCTAGACTGAGTTATACGTCGACAGAGGATCTGGCGAAGCTTGAACAACAGATAGCGCAGCTCCAAGGTGAAGTCAAGCACCTCGCTCAATGCAGAACCCATCTCGCTCGACCCGCTGGACCAACTGCTATGCGCGGTACAGACGTGCCGTATGCTGCTTTTGTACCTGAATCATCCTCTGCAAGCACGTCAGCTCCAGTCAAGATGACTCCGGTAGAGCTCCTCCACTTTGTTGCCCGGCAACTCCAAGAGCTTTCAAAG